TTCATTTGAGCATGGTGTGACATGCTTTTTCATTCTCCCACCCCCCACCCCTTCGTCCTAGACGACTGTCATTCTGTACTGGATAAAGTCATGACTCATAATTGTCCGAAAACGGCAATGTCCCACCACAAGCGTAGTTGCCTTCACGTTCTAATTAAGGTCGCAGCTCTGCCCTCTCAGCCTCCGGGATATGGAGTAACGGTGGATGGCCTTGGAGGGGTGAGAGACAGCTTTCATTGCTCGCGACTAACGATCTAATCGCTCTATGTCAATTACCGAACGCTGTACAACACAAGTAAAGTACTTCATGGCCGTACTTCTATCATGTAATGGTAAGCCTATACGTTCTAGTAGTCCTCACCTTCACAAAGCAAATGACGCAGGTCATCAGCTCGTAATTCCGTGCCATCATCTTTCTTGTTGGTCAAGTTGTAGTTGGGTGAAGCTAGCGTTCGTAATAGTGGCACTTGTAGTCCATGTTCTTGCACGTACTCTGCAAAACTACGCTAGAAAATTAAGCCCAAATCTCGTACTGGTCAAAGGCGAGGAATGATCAAAGTGTTGCTCGTGCGGATTTGCAAAATCCAGAGTTTACTACGGATCAAACAAGAGGAAGCTATCATGGACTACGCGGTTGCTTACTTACTTCAGGAATTCAGATTTATCGGGGTGAACCTATGGGAGTTCGGAAATTGAAGTTTGCCTGGAGACAAACTGCGCATACACCTCTGAAGACAGCCCGTACCATGTGCGATGTTACCGGGTCCGCATCTGCAGTGTCGTGCCACTTTCTTTGCTCAGAAATGCTTGGGGCCGGGGCTGTAGGTAGTGCTACACCTTGAAGACGGCTTTTGGGTACCTCTGCAAACATAGTGCGCTCGCGCTATGCCCAAGATGAAGCACTCGTTAGATACCGGAATCCCTTAGCGAACACGCAGTAAGGGGTAGAGAACAACCAGAAGTGAGAGAAGTAGGCAAGTAGTGCGTTTGACTCTGATTGTTCGTGTAGCTGGTTGTGTGGCAATTCGGGTGGAGTTGACAGCTACGCGCCTAACCATAGCCAAGGGCGCTACGAGCGGCATCCGGGTATCGCTACCTTTTAACCCCCGTTTCCATGCATTTTTGAGCGGAGAAAAAGACACGGTACTGCAGCAGCGGATCCACTCAGCTTATCAAGCAAAGATTAGGATCCACGAAGAAGAGCACAGTTCCCCTTTCCAGTGATTCTCTCACAGCAAGGCAGAATGTGTAGCGAACTCGACGGGACCTAGAGCCAAAATGCCCCCTCTTCCTCCTTTCATCGTTTTTCACCTCTCCTTGCCGTCTACTCCCAATCCCTGAGGCTGCATCATACTTTGTGGAAGCGTACCAGTGAGCACCAGCGTTTCGAGCTTCCTTCAGCGACTAGGGAAGTAAAGATATCAATCTAGCGAACGCCATTGTCTACCAGCGTCCACTGGCGTCCACCAGCGTCCAGTAGAGAGTATGGGGAAGTAGGAGGGAGAAAACACGTGGACTAGGCGTCGTGAAATTGCGTTGTGTGCAATCCCACCGCACTACTTCCTGCACAATACTGTACTACAATTAAATGCATAATTCTGTGCTTTAGCAGTTGTACGGTGAGGTTGTACACGCCATAATTTTACGATGCCTAATCGAGCTGTCTGCTCCCTCTGTTCCCCGTATTCTCCTGAACCCGCTCTCGAGTCCTGGTGGATGCTGGTGGACCATGGTAGACGCTGGCAGACGCTGAGCGAACTCGCGTTTGCCAGATCGATATCCATACTTTGCCATTCGCTGGTGGATGCTGTAGCTCGCTGGATCGACATCTACACTTTCTTAATCGGTGAAGCTGACAGACGCTTGAAACGCTGGTGCTCGCTGGTGCACGCTGCCGCGAAGTTTGCATGTAACCCGAGACGTGATAAGCGTGGCTGTCTGCTTTCGAAACATGGCATACTATGGTTTATCAATGGAAGTTGCCATATATAGGGCGAAGATGCGCTTGCCATCATCCCAAAATAAAATATTCCACTAAAAGCGTAGCTGTCGCCACGTTCAAGTGAAGTACGTGGCCACATCTACCGCATCTCATTGTTGCTTGGCAAGCCGAAGCCCTATGCTATTGTGCGCGCTGTAGTACTCGGTTTGAGTATGTCTCCCGGGATATCTTGGAAATGCACGTGGGACAAATTTCAGTTGTCCTGTATGGTAAAATGATTGCGAGCATAGTTCTGACCAGACATTGTCTCAACAAAGTGAAAACTTCAGCAACGAGAAAGCGGTAGAAGAGAACATGATACAGGCAGGGGTAGGAAAAAAACATATGGACAGATGGGTAGTGCCACATGCATGGTAGAAGCCGATTCATTACAGAAATAGCGGACATTCACCCAAACTCACCACCATGGAACTTGACAGTATTCTTCTCACCTACCGATGGTGATGATTGTGCCGCCATCTTCACGGAATTCGCTAGCTGCTTGTGTGGGATCGTTGTATCCGCCGCTTCTTAACATATCTTCGCTAAAGAATGACGGAAATGCCAATTAAATCATTTTGAAAAGCCGAAATGGCACAGAGATTAGTGGCGCAAAATTTCGAGTGGCAAGGATGAATGCTGAGTCCCTGCACAGAAGAAAGCAAAGCTTTTGCTTCACCAGAACTGATTGTAAACCTCAAGTCAAGCGCATGGCACTTCCCAGATGCCTAATGACACCAGGTACTTCACCTCATTCTTCCGAGTCACATTATTATCGGTGCTGCTCAAAGGCGCATTGAGTTTTCGTGATGCGGGAAGAGCCAACCCCCTTCCTTATTGGTGGTACTCATCCAAGACAATGATGAGGAGGGATAGCTCAATAATAAGAAGCACATGTTGTTGAGACTCTGTCTCGCTCACCTAACTTCATTCCTTTTCAAGATGAGGAGGCGCTTGAATACTAAGGATTCAATTAGCGGTCAGGATTACTGTATAATGTAGTTCTGCAGTTGTGTAGGACTGTTACACATGGTTGATTGTTCTAGATCGTTGCGGACTGACATCTAGCCTGGGCGACGAGAGCCTTTTAGCTCAGGAACCTTCATCTGTTGAGAAATCCCTTATAGGGATTCACCTAGTATCTGACCCGACAGAAGTTCTTCCGATCCCACTCCACTCTCAAACGGGTGGCAAAAATGCTATTTCTGATGATGTTATAGTTGACTGGAGGTGTCCGATGAATGCTGGAGCAGTAGGAGCGTGGCTAGGGTGTGAGAGGAGGGGGGGGGGGTATCGTGGCTGGAGATAGAATTCGGGTGTATTCTGTCGAAAATTTTTCTCGCCGAAACGAACCCTGCTTGAGGCCCTTCTGACTGATTCATGTTTTAATCGTAACCAACTGGCACGTCAACGCTTGGTGTTTAGTCAGGTAGCAATGCCGGCTGCTGCTGCGTCGTTTGGTGTGCACGTATTGAGGTGGGGAAAGGGGCCCGTGGCGGCTGTGGGAGGCAAAAGCTGCATATTGAGTGAACTAACTTGTAAGAGCTTCCGACGATGATAAGTACTGGACGAGCAGCAAGGCGATGTGATGAGGACGCGAATTTCGAAGTGGCCAGACGAATTGCGCTAAAAATAGCAGAATTTCTATGCGCTTTTTCAATCCAGGCTCGACTGCCCTTATACGGTAGCTTCTACAGACTCACCCTTCTATGTTGGTTCCTGTTTCGTTCAGCGGCAATATGTTCAAGTCGAATAGATCTGCTGTTGAAGTGTAAACGTTTAGATCTGCTACAAGATCTGTTGTGTTGGCGTAACGAATAACCCCGAATCGGGTTTGATACTGCTGCGCTTGACCCACAGTCAGTTTTGTGAAAGCTGACACGACATAGTCAGTTGCCTGAAATTGTACTCTTTCAATTTAAATCCCTCGGAAATGATGAAAGACAATATTAATTTGCCGATAATCAATGGCAATGTCGCGACGGCTTCTTTGCTTTGCATTTAGGCGACTTTCGAAACAGCATAACTTGTTTCGCTAGGCCAATTATTTGCGGTCTTTTGGCTCTACACCATTCCGGTATTGCCCCCCCATGCAGCGGCCTAGAAACATTCGTCATTGTAGGCGCATGGCAGTCTGCGCGTACGCCCATTAGTGCGAGCGAGTTACGATTTTTCTCGACATCAGACACTCAGCTAAGGAGCAGGGTTTGTGGAGTGTTGCTGCGCGTGCAAAGAACGAGCCGACTCGGTTTTTCGCTGGCAGACGATGAGGCAAGTAAGGGGGGCTGGGTTTGGCGCGAAGCTATCCCGTTCTCAACCAATTTTTGAGGTGATCAAGCAACTGGTGGAAAACGGGTTAGCGTCTCGTTAAACCAAGTCTCCTGGCACGTCTGCGAACAACTACTAATACAGTGCATTTCAAAGAAATGCACATATCAAATACAAGTACGAGTCCAAAAGTGGAAAATGGGAGAAGTAGGTAGCCTTTTCTGCAAAAGAACGGGCCTGAACTCTTCTAGCAACGTGGGGTGTAGGGTAGGGCCGAGGTCTCCAAAATCTTGCTTTTCAGAGCTGAGCTCATATGTTTTGCTGCTAGACTTACAAACAATCTTTCCGGGAAAGAAAAAAGGCAAAAATAAAATCATGGAGATCACCCTAAGGACCTGTCAGCTCCCTGGATGAATTTCCCGAAGGTGCTCGTTTCATACCAGCTAGAGCGATATCCTGCCGATTCTGGCCAACAATCGTTTCTTCGCGCATCGGATGCTAATACTCATGCAATGCTAATACTATCTAACAAGGAGAGAAAAACGAAAAACACTGGGTCAAAACTGTACTCGGGATAGAAGTTGTCCTTGTGTTCCGGTGGGTGGGGCAACTAGAAATGAAAAAACTTTTAGTGGGTGGAACAACTAGGAAGGCGTCAGAAATGCCACTTCTGAACTCATGGCGCCTTCGTTAGGGACAGGGAAGCGGGATGATCTCAGAGAGGGGCGCGCAGTCGGGATGATCTCAGAGAGGGGATCACGTACTTGCACAAGGAAGGACGCCTACGTTGTTCGAGCGCGGGACTATCTTTATTTAGAAGTTTTCTCAGAGGGACATCTTAGGACGCTGTGACGCGTGAGGGCCCCTTAACATTCTCTGTCAGCGGCTTATTTTGAGCACTTGACTTTCTATGTCATGTGATGAGAAAAACGTTGATCCACTTACCGAAATGATTCCACCAGGAGTCATTGCGTTAGTAGCTTCCATGAGGAGAAAAACATCCAACCAGACGGTTTTCAGGACGCAGTTGCACCCAGTATTGTTGATGTTTGCCACTGGTAGACTAGGCACGGTAGGTGCAGGGCGTGCTGTGGGTTCGCCACTTGTCACCACATGATTAGGTATGGTAGCTGGAGGCGAGGTAGGCTGATCAGTGGAAACTGCAACGATAGTTTGTGGCGTAAAATCTATTCAGCCCCCGAGAAGAGCTACGGGGCACAAATTGCTAAAAGCTAAACAACGAAACGAGAATTTTCCAGAGTATAACCACATTTGCTGACCGCTATATCCAGTAGATGTTGTAATGCAATCTACACCAGTGCCGCAGTCAGAAGTAGTGCTAGGTGTTGCAGATGAAGTGGTACTGAGTGCAGCCGTTGTAGATGTGGATGTTTGCGTAGAAGTGGTTGTCGGGTACACCGGTGCTGTAAAACACTGTTATTTAATGAATCAAACATCCTCTTTGGAAGTGGCGATTGATACGGCTTTAAATAGACTACAGAATCTTCGGGAGAATCTCATTAGAGAGTGGGAGGGGGGGGCTCACTTCCTCGGTTTTTCCCGTTTCTAGCCCGCATCACCCACCCCCCCACCTTTGCCTATGTTGCGACGTACACTACTAACATCTTATAATCGATAGTTCAAATTACTATCAACTCCTCCCTCAGCCGTACTGACTGATAGCAGGTTGGAAGGGGGGGGGAAAAGTCCTGCCCATCTTGACTACAATTCTTCGAACAGATATCATTCACTAAAGACACCCCAATGTCACTAAGGTAACCATGTGATGGTGGGGCTAGTGTCATTTTTTACACAGCTTTACTCTCCATTTCATGGACATACTGGCCAGCTTACGCGAGTAGACATCGGTTTTCCGGCAATTTTGGCTTTCTAAAGTTGCGGTAGGGTTGAAGGCCACGGTGTATGGGAGGGCTGCTAAACCCTAGCGTAATACCGTTTGGGTACGGTACGCATTCCTGTCGCGGGATTCCCATGAACTTTAGCAGCAGAGAGAGCAGTAGAGAAACTAGGATTTCTGTATGATTCCAAGCGTAAAGTTATCCATATTTGAAAGCTCATTAGATGGGACAGTACGTCCTCGCCAGCGTGCTGGCCAGCTAACCATGCTACTTTCTCTTCGAGATCTTTGAAGGACATATGCATGTTCACGCAAGGATCTCAGCTCTCGCTACCCAACACGCAGATCTCACAATGTTCTTTCAGTCGTGTACAAGCAAAAATCTCAGGTCACGGTATTCGGTAGCTTGTATTAGACTGGTCCTATCGATGAGGCGCTGAGCATACGCTACTCTCCACATGGCCTAAGCGATTCCTTCACTCCAAAGACAACTGTTCGCAATTATAGGTTGTTTGCTTCCTTGACGGACGCACGGAACCCCCACAGAACTCATAATTTGCGATAGTCGAAAAGGCCGCGACCTCTGGAGATTTTTCAACCTTTGAATCCAGCAAAATTGACAACCATCGCGACGGATCCAAAGGCAGTCTCCCTTATCACGGTGTTGAAAACATTTGAAATCCTTTTCGATTCTTCTCTTAAACAATTCGATCAAAGCTGTCGCAAGAATTTCCGTTCAAGCGTAAATATCACCCTGCCAATTCATGTTCCCTTTTCGCGTCAAGCAGGCTTCCATCTGCGCGCCCTTTTGCTTCTGAACACCTACTCGCAATTATAGGTCGCGTGCGCTGCAAGTGTCAAATGTCCTCGCAGAGGCGTGTTATGTAGGGCGGGCTGTGCACTGGGTTTGAATAAGCATCTCAGGTGACGTATTGTTTTCTAGAGACGAATGCAGCGAAACAAAGGCTTAGTTAGGTTCTTTCTTGCTCCATAGTTTTAGGAATTAGAACGAACTGCTGAAAAGCCAAGAGCAAGAACACTGAGAGCACGGGTGCAGAGGCCAGAGACAACCATGGAAAAAGAAAGAATCCAAAGGCGCCGAGCAAACACAATCAGGACCGTCATCTGTTGCGGGCTAGGATCTTTCCAGCGAGAGGAGTCGCTGGGCAAATTACTGCTTCATCACTGCATAATCTCAGTCCTACGCCGCGAAGTAACGCTATTTCGGAGGTTGTAGATTGGGATTCCTCGAGGAAAGAAGGATTTCTCATTGCTGGCCTGTCTAATGAACTTTTGGTCTAATGTGTTCTATTCGTCCATTATTCAGAGGAACACACTGCAAGTTTTGGTTCAAGATCACAAAACCATATATTTGGTACATGCGTCTAAAGAATGGTAGAAGGGATGCTACATAGTGCAAAAATGGTAAGACAGACACGACAGCAGAACAATAAAAAGTTGACAAAAAAGGTCTTGTTTATACACGACCTTCAGAAACTGTTTCAGATGTTTCCCATTCCATTGTTGGCAATCACCGTTACGGCTAGACTTAACGGCTCGCATGGGTTTCCCCCTCCTCATTATCCGTGCCACACCGTAGCCGCTTCATAAATTCCTTCGCTTCATGTTTTACTTTGCGCGATGAGAGGATACGGCAAAACGCAATGGCTCGCACCTTTAAGCAGTGGAGGCTGGCGTTGAGCCGCGGTCTGTGTTTGCAGCTTGATAAAGCCTTACAAGAAGTAACCTTGCCCTCTGAAAACAGGCGCTGACGCAAGTGCCAGTGAGTTCGCGGACACTTGCCTTCCACAAGGTAATCACCTTTACGCACGCAGCCACCTGCTTGTGGGGACGCCAATTCTTCTTGCTAGGTTTATTGACCCCAAAAAGTCTCTGGGGCGTTCTCGCTTCAAAGCACGAATTCGCCCTGCGAGGAATGCGCTTGCATAGTCGTCTTACTCCGAGGGACCGTACCCGTAACAAGCCTTACAAGGTGCAACATACCGCCCAGAACCCCATGTCCCCCCCGCCACACAATGTAACGCCTAGCTGAGCTTGTATTGCCTTCATTTGTTAAAGCCACATCAGTACGCTCATACCATTGGGCGCGGTATAGAGACTCTCGGCCTGTGTCGCGGATCGCGACTCTGGTCGCCGAGCGGCCGTGCGCCTGGGCTCTGTGGTGCTCTAATGCCAGAGCCGCGCCGCGAGCGAGGGAAGCCGCGACGGGCCACCCGCCACCCAGGCGCGACGCCTTAGGCGCAGGCTGGCCAGATGGTCGTCCGCTCTCCTTCGGGATGGGAGCGTCGGGCAACGTTTCGCGGTGCCGACAGAGGCGCGGATTGGCGGGTCTCAGACCGGGCTACGTGCAGCTGGGCGGACACTGCGCAGCTGCACCCTGGTAGCCGAAGGTGCGACCGGCTGTGGGCAACCATAGAGCGCCGCTTGTCATCGCTGTCTCTAGTATCGGATGGATGGATGGTCGACTCCATGAGCTGGCAGGAGGGACCGAGGAGTAGGTCGTCGAATTGTGCGATTAGGAGACAATAAACGTGAGTCATTGTAATTATGTGTAGTTGTCGGACGTAGGGACGATGGGAGCGCCAGGGCAAGGGGGCCCGACAGAGCGCTGTAGGTTGTTAGGTCTGTGTATCATTATGGGCAGCCTGTTAGTACACAGGCACGGGATGGTATGCCGCAGTTAGGTGGTTGGTGCGCTCTAGGGCCAGGTCAGTTGCATGCCCCGGGAGCGGGCTCCGTACCGTGGGGGGAAAACGGTACGGTCCCCGCGGAAGCCCGCAGGATAGTCGTGTGGGCCCGTGTTGGGTCTGCGGGAGGTTCTACCACCGTATACGCGTCGCATTATTTCGGCGGCTCAGAGGGCAGCTGAGGGACGAGACCACCTAGTCCCGCCACCGAACCGCGACAGCCCCCAGATGTCGATGTGTCGTGGTCCCCCCGCCCAAACATGCCCGGGAATGGAGATACAGGGCCGTGAAACACGCTAATTCTTCCATGCTCCGCCCACTGCCTTTTTACGGCGCAGATTCCCGCCGTTCATAACATCCGTTGCAAGCGCGCCTGTCGCGTGCGGCTCCTTGGCACTTTGCCAAGTCCTTTAATTGCGCTCTCAAATACAAGTAAAACGCAATTTCCTGATGCGGATAACATTGGAGGTGCTACAAAATAAGAGCAGAAGATGACAAGGGGCAGAACTCAAGAGCAACTCGGCTGCATCTGCAGTATCCATCAAGGGCCGCGCATTCCACAAAACATGAAAATAAAAACAGCCCAAGCGTCCCACTCGTTTGTTCTAAGTATTTCTATGGCTTTGGCGCCGGATCGTAGAAATTTACAGGCCAGTTTATCTAATTTGCCTTTCCTTGATTTTTTCATTTTTGTTTTGTTTACATTTACATCGTTGTGCTTCATTTCTAGCCTGTGTCATCTTCATCTCCTTGTACATGGATTTTGAAGCATGAGCAACACCTTAAATTTTATTCGCATCAGGAAATTGCGTCTTGCTTGTATTAAACTAACGAGTATGCCGTTTTTAGTTTTTATTTTCATGTTTCGTGGAAATACGTGGCCTCCGAGGGATGTTGCAGAAGTGGCACAGTCGCTTTTAGGTTCTGACCCTCGTCATCATCTTCTGCTCTTATTTTGTAGCACCTCCAATGTTATCCGCATCAGGAAATTGCGTTTTACTTGTTTGAGAGCGCAATTAAAGGACTTGGCAAAGTGCCAAGGAGCCGCACGCGACAGGCGCGGCTGCAAGGGATGTTATGAACGGCGGGAATCTGCGCCGTAAAGGCAGTGGGCGGAGCATGGAAGAATTAGCGTGTTTCACGGCCCTGTATCTCCATTCCTGGGCATGTTTGGGCGGGGGACCACGACACATCGACATCTGGGGGGGGGCTGATAGTCTCATACACCCTCAATGTGTTGAGCGTACCATGTGTCTTTAAGCAAAGTATCAAGCAGAGGGATTAATATGAAGAGGCCGCGGTGCTGCATGCATGTATGAGTCCACACGTGCACCATAGCGGTCACTGGCAAGTTGACGATCGGAAACTCGTCCGAAATTGCTCCTTTCCAGGCACTAAGAATGGAAGCTTTTCTTCTCGGGTCTTTAACCATTTCACTTCGTTTTTCGTCATTTTCCCACCCCTGCTACCATTTTAGAGCAAGCAGGAATTATCGTTCCATATGCCTTCAAATTAAGCACTTGAACTTGTTTTTGCCTCGCATGTGAACGGCTTTCCCCCTCTTTTGGCCAATCATGCATAGTTAGAGTGAAACTTACCACAAACGGAGTCATCCACGTAGTCCGACAACTGGTCCTCTCCAATGGTGCTGGCGTCATACACATTTGTGTGCTAAATATAATTCTTTTGGATGAGGGCCTATATGAAACTTCCAAATGAACATCACCAATTTTGGCCAGCTGTTGAATGAACAGTTCCCATAGTTGACGACAACCACGGAGAAATTCAGCGCCATCCGATTATCGATGTAGTACTCGACTTGAGCTCCGGCAGCATCCACGTCGGTTTGTTCCCTAGGAATTTCATGTAGTGAAGATCGTCCCGAAGAAACCTCATCACTCGTTTGACCACACACTCAGCGTGTGGTTGCCGAGCAGCTGCTACTGCTCGTGGGCTGTCTTATACTTGCTTTGAAATGAGGCTACAGTCATAACACGCTGCCTAGAGGGGGCATGCCAATGGGCATAGCTGTGAGCGTAGCGGCTGCGCGTTACGTACCTGTGCTGAGCTGCTGGTTCAGAAAAAAGGTTCAAGTGAAAAGTGAGAATTATTTCCATGTGCTCTCTCGTGGGGCGCTCTTTATTCCCGCTCCACTACGAGCGATCCCTCATCCCCGCCCCGCATATGTACAAGTAGATCCGCCTTCTGGTCCCTCCAGGCGCTCTGGTATAGATTCTAAGGCATCGCAGCAGTGTTGTCACCAGTAAATGTGCGTCATTATCAAGTACCTTAACCAGTGGCACACCCCCCCCCCCTCCTATCTACTATCAGGGCACGTCCAACGTTGAGGAATCCTGAGCGGAGGAGAGGGAGCAGTCGTGGAGTGCTTGGAGTGCTTTTGCTAGTTGATCTTTACGGTTTAATGGGGTCTAATCACATCGTTGGGAGTATTCCCATGGGGGATGGGGGGGGGGGTTGTTACGACTTCGGGCGAGAGTGCTTTATTTGAGCACACGACGACAATTGACAACACACCGCACAGAGGGTCTTTTATAGACCCAAGATGACCTATCACTGCATAACACAATGAATGTAAACAACCGCTCAGATTATCACTTAGGACAGTGAACTTATAAACATTGAGCGGTCTACCACAACAGGGGGAGGGCATGTAATGTCAACGTTAGGAGGATTCCATGGGGAGGGGGGTCGTGTCGTGATTTGCTCGTCGTTGGGAGAGGGAGGGGGTCGTGTCGGCCTTTGACTTTTCGCGTTTTTTGCCGTTTCCCTGGTACTATATCCTTCCTCACCCCCTCCACCCCGCTCGACGGATGTCTTTTTTGCGGATAACTGGAAAATTTTTGTGAAATATCGGTTAGACTGGGAGGAAGCTTGTAAAAGTTGGCAAAGAGACAACAGATTGAGTTTGGTGGGAGTGGAAGGAAGCGCGTCGTGCAGAGGACGAAGTCGGGGATCCTGCTTTCTGAAACTTTTCCTCAGGGGCACGAAGGGCGCTGACTACCGCCTTCCTAACGTTCTACAGCTTCCTTCCACAAAAAACGGTATAATTTAGCTGCAAGAAAAATTTTTCTCAAAGCACGGCAGCCTCAGTATCAAATCCAGATGAGGGCCCCCTTCATTAGCTATCGGATATGATTCCCCTGACGGGATTGTTCCATCAGGATAGTCGTATCCGATAGCTGTTTTCTGCTTCCTACACGACAAGAGGTGGGCTTTCCTGTTTGGCGGATGTTAGCGTTTTGGCCAGCGTGTCCGCCGTACCACTTGGGTGTGAGAGAACATATTTAGCACCTGCAATGTTAGGGCACTAAAATTTTTACGAGCTTTGCTTTTTTTTGTTCTGTTTACCAGATGAACTGAAAAAAACAACTGGAACCATATCCCATTCCTGTCTGGCGGATGTTAGCCTTTCGGGCAGCGCGTTTTGGGCTGATGGGGAATACTTCACTGTTTGAAAAGTTTATAATGCACTCACCTGTCCCCTGTAAACAGAACCAGTGATGTGTACGAAGCCAAAGTTGTTGAATAGGTTTCGTATAGTCCTGAAAGTGGTGTTCAGATTCTACACCTTCCTGTCGAATTTGAATGACCTTGCAGAAGTTTGTCAAAACTATAGGGAGCAGTCGAGTAGTTGTTGACTGTCTCCGCCCAAACGATTACTGTGCGCTGTGCTTCCAAATGCAACAATCTGCTTTGTGTTTCCAGCGCTGTTCAGAGAATCGCCATCGAGAGGTCGTGCTTCGTTTGAAAGTGAAGGAGAAATCTTCGGGCTGCTAATTTTTCTCGTCCCATGCGCGCTATAAACCCCTTCCCCACCGCTTGACGCCAGTTTTCTTAGAAAAATATGGCGAGATTTCTAGAAAATTGGGTGAGAGTTGGGACATGTGGGAAGGTGGTAGCTTGGGGGTGAGGGAGAGGGTCACACAAACACCACCCTCACACTCATCCCACTGGGGTACGCTCTTCTGAAGCCTGGTATGGAGGCACCATGCGGCATCGCGTGCATGGCTGTGCGATGAATATATCGCACTGGCGACCTGCGATTCGAGCGCGGAGGAGATTTCCCGTGCACAGGACAGGACATCACTTGAGCAGTACCCAGTTTTCGACTGAAAAAAATTACCTGGACAATGGCACATTATTGGCTGAGTCTATATCGACATTATTCCACAGCTTTTCCAAATTATCACAAATCTGCTCTCGGTTGTAGTTGAAGTCATAAATAGTAGTTGAACCAGTACCTTCAAATCTATTTCATAAGATGAGAGGGTATCTTAAAATGGCATACTATCAGCATTCGAGTGCTTTTCCAGTGCACTGAAGTCACAATAGTTTCTTGCCGCTCAGCCGCGAGCTTAATATTTCCTGAGGGTGAGATAGGTAGCTCCGCAAGTTACGCCGGTGACTGGTCGTGCTGCATCCTGCGTGTCTGTTGAGTGCTTTGCCAGCGGGGGAGATATAAGGAAAAGCTATCACAATCCTCCAGCTACATGGCCTCGCTTTTCAATTGGCAAAAGTGAGCTAGGGATCCCATGAGTGGCGTAGTATCTTTCCCCAGTTGTGGACCTTTCTACCTTAGCCATGGACAGACCTAGTTCGAGCATTAAGAGGGAGCTATGAAAGCTGCTGCTGGAGCTGCTTCACTCTTCTCCAGTCTTTGTAATTCGTGGTCAGAAAGCCTCAAGAAACGTGGAGCGTGAACATGACACATCCAGCAACATATTCATTTGTACTTGCGAATGGCATTAGGGCGTTGGCACCTTTCAAATGCTCTAACGATTCTGAGTGAAACCCCTGTGCGTTGTGCGTATCAATAAGGTCATGCAAATGTGAACGCTTGGCTTCATGCCTTTTCTTTTTTCGAGGTCTAAGCTTCTCTTAACCAATAAAGTAAGGCAATTAACATACCATAGGTGGTCATTCCAACTTGGACGTAGCCTTTTCGCACGTCTAGCCGTGGAATTATCCAATTTTCAATGAAGTCGAACTCCTACAATGAGATCATCTGATATAGCTAAAAAAAGGCAGTTGGGAGCCCTATTGATATAATGACGTGAAACTAGTCGCGAGACGCCGCGGAAGCCCTTTTAGCAGAAGGTGATCACCAACTTAAATTCAGGACAGATCAGACTCCGAGAGCTGTTTCGTGACACCCCATGGCTGAGCTTCACAATCCTTCTGCCCATCAATAGACATTGGCAGGTAGAAGGCCTGTTCTATAGGCGTTCCGTAAGTGCTGGAAGGAGCTGTAGGAGATGAAATAG